AATATAATATAATATAATATAATATAATATAATATAATATAATATAACATAACATAACATAACATAACATAACATAACATAACATAATATAATATAATATAATATAATATAATTTCTTATTTAGAAGCCGTTGCTAGTGGTATTTCGTTCCATCACTGTGTTATGCACTGTCTATTTGAGATCCAAGTGTTTGATTTGATCTTGACAATCCTGTGCAGGCCAGGCTTCTGAAAGTTAGCTCCTTAGCCTACGGGATTCCCTTTACTTCTTCCTTTGATACAAGATCTACTCCTAGGACAACAGGATAACAGTGGCATTCTCTTTAAGTAGTCTGCCCTCTGCAAGCTCTCTTCAGGGTCTGCGTTCCTATAGGGGATGTCTGGGCAGTGCTGACTGAAAGGGAAAGCACTTTATCCCTTCTCCATGTGGTGGCTATTTGTGGATTACAGCGTGACTGCTTTGAAGCAGCGGATACTGTGTGCTGTTCAGCTGGTGGCTCATTCTGATCATTCTTTCATTACACAGCACAAGTAATTCCCCTGATGTATTTTTATACTTCTCTCAGTGTTCTTATTATACCACATGATTCTACTCTATATTAAATATCAGAAAAAGTATATTGACTTAAGTAAGACCCATAGGTCTGATCTCTCATAGATACACACAGCTTTCCACTTTACCATATGTCTTTGAAACACCTGCCTTTCCTTCCGCCATGTTGCTTATAAAGTCCTGAGAAGTTATGGTGCTTCTATATCTCTGGCATTACACATAATAGCTGGGTTTTGAGAAGGCTCATGGGTATCTGTTAAGAAATGAGAAAACGATCCATTATTTTGATAATCCGATTCTTCACTGTAAAATGAAAACTCATTGCTGCCCTCTTGCATTGCCTCATTCTTTTTAGCAACTGCATGAGGAGGTTCAGCATATCATGAAAGAATGGGAAGTGTTGAGTGCTCAGGGAGCTCCTCTGAAGGAGAAGTCTGAACAATTGAAGGATCTTATCCATCTCCATCAGAGGCAGAGAGAGCGAATCCAGGATTATGAGGAAGTCCTAATCAAGACAGTCCGTTTCCACCAGGTCAAGGAAGAAGTAAGTCTTACCGTAGCTGTCCAAAAGTTGCAGAGTTTTACAAGATTAAATTAAGAGGTTGTTATTATGCAATAAATAAAAACCAAATTGCTTATCTTGGTGTAAGGAGTTTATTCACCCTAATGGTTAACTTCTCTCTCACTATACCTATCTTGCTTCATGCTCCAGGACTGCTGTATCCTTCCTTCTCCTTTGAATATGGAACATACATTCCTACATCTAAGCCTATCAACTCGACACTTACACTTCCTGGTAGACCCCTTTCTCTCTGTTAGAATGTACCTCCTGCTTCCTTCCGGCAACCCCTCTTCCCCACCATGCTTCTCTCTGCCCAATCCCCACAGCAATCACTAGTCTTTCCATGTAGCGCTTCTAGCATCATGGCTGCTTTTTGTTGTTGTTGTTAATAAAACTAGATTTTATTTTTCCAACTCTTGGGAGGAGAGGGGTGATCAAAACCTAAGTTTGTTCTTTCTCTTTTTATTTCTTCATCCCAAGAACCTGTCGACATGAAGTGCTCAATAAATGCCATTTATTGGTTATTTCATGGCAGCTCACCACCCTCTAAAATGCCAGTTCAGTGACTCCAATGCTCTCTTCTTGCCTCTGAGAAACTATGCATTTGGTACATGGACATGTACGCAGGCAAAAACACACATACACATTAATAGGAAAACCTTTTTAAAAACAGTTTTTGAGTTTACTTAAATCACAGTTCAAGATTTTGCTGAAGTTTGGGATTATGGGCCCAGACTAGACTTCGTTCTTTCACAGAACTGAGCGGTTGACTGACCAGTGAAACCCTGTTGGACTCACAGTCCTGCAGCACGTACCTGCGTCATGATCCATAGTTCTAAGGATGCTGATGGGCCGGGCAGTAAAAGCAGGCTAAGTGCCAATGTTCTTCATTCCAGCTGATGCGTTTCATCAACTCGAGAGAACTGGAGCTTCCAGCACAGCCCATGGAGCTGGGAGGTACTCAGGAGGTCCAGATGCGACTGGGCCGTTCTCGAGAAAGACGGGCGCACGTGGACCATCTCCACCAGCTGGCCCTTTCCCTGGGCGTGGACGTCATCTCGTCAGTGCAGCAGCCTGTGAGCACCTTGACCGTCACCACTACAGCTTCCCTCTCACTGCCATTTGAGCTGCAATATGAAAGAAATGGGCGCATTGCTTAGCACCTATTTCATCTGAACTGTTGCTTTTGTGTGCACTGCTGGGGGTTGAACACAGGACCTCACGCATGCTAACCAAGGGCATCACGGTTAAGCCATCTTTTAGCCCCAGTATGTTAAATTAAAAAAAAAAAAGAGCAAAATCACTGGGGTGCTTATTAGTCCCAAGTTTCTACCACATTAAGAAACAATAAAATATGAGGAGAAAAACATGAGCATAAAATCTTACTTAATACATATTATTCTCATGTTAATTTAAAATAGAGCCATGATCTCAGAGGGACGATAGGTTTCTGCATTTGAAATGTGTCTAATGAAACTAAGAACTTAAACTTTTTTACATTTATTTCATTTCAACCAAGTTAAACTGTAAATGCTAATCCTCAGTATCATCGTTGGAAATTTCTCAATATGTTCAGAAACTACTTGGGCATGTGATTCTCAAAACTGTGTTTTGAGAAATTTAAATCTAGATAAAATATTTCTGATAGAAATTTAACCACGACTGAGAAAAAGTCAAAGTCTGATATCACATTAGATTTCAAAGATGTGAGATGAAAAAGCTCTTAACACTTTTATTTTGGCTGTCTACTACAAAATGGTAATATTTGGATGTAATTGGTAAAATAAATTATGCTATGAGGCTCAATTTTATTCATTTCTTCTTTGCTTTTCAATGAGATTATTAGAAGTTATTCAATGACTTCATGACCCATAATGCATTTCTACTGGATGGTAGTGTTTCTGTATTTCAAGTCAGACCAGCAGCCCTGTTTTATAGAGGAAGAAGCTGAAGTCCAGAGATACTGGCTACTCATCCATAAAAGCCCAGAGTGGATGGGGTCAGGCCCTCTGCTTCTGGCCTGGGTTCTGGCATCAGTTCTTGCACTGGCTTTATAACACTGGTCACATTTCAGCAGAGGAGCCCAAGAGAACAGAAAGTATTTTCTGATCAAAGTTCATAACTAAATACACTGAACTCTGATGCTTTGCAAACTTCCCAAATCCATACTTTGATGAGGGGCAGGGGAGGAAGGTTTGCTTCATTATGAATAAAATCACAGGTCCACCTTTACTTTAAAGTTTATCTCCTGTTAGCCTATATGTGATATAGCAAGCCCAGCAAGCATCTGTTCTTTAAGTTAAAAGGCAGAATATTTGCTGCTGTTAATAGAATTCACTTTTGCCGGTGTCAAAGTTTTCTAAGGAGTTTTATTATATTTGTAAACTTATTTTTAAAAGTGAAGAGAAAGTAGGATGCCTTACTTTGCACAAATAACATAAATTGTTCTCCAGCCCTCTTCTGGCCTTGGTTCCAGCATCCCCCCTGCGCTAGATGGAGATTGGAGCACTTGCATAATGAACCTGAGGTTAAACTCAAGTTGACGAGAAAATTACAGCGCTGAGGCAGAATGTTCCTAATGCATATTTTATGCTTTTTGAAGTAAAAATTAGACCTTATCATGAATGGCGCCTCTGAGGAGCTGGAGATGATGATGAGATTCAAGAATAGAAATGTCTATTCCATAATGTTGAGTTTCTGGCTTCCTTCTAAAATAATTAGATTCAAATATGTTTAGGGTAAAACAAATTAGGACCTTATATCACTTTTAAAGCCATTTATTTGTAAGCATCATAATCCAGGCAAATGGTATATTGTTGTGTGGCCGTTTCACAGGTTCCTTTTGTTATTTCCACATCCTTCATTCCCAGAATTGCTCCAGTATTTCCGCAAAGAACCTGCAGCAGCAGCTGGAGGCCCTCGAAGTGGGTAGCAGAAGCTGGAGTGCCAAGGCCAAAGAATGTGAACAGGTCCTGTCCTCCCGCCTGGAGTATTGTACCACTCAGGATGAGATCAATGAGGTGGGCTTTGAGAAAGGGCATGCTGACTCAAAGCGTGTGCCCCACTGTCTATGCATGCTTGCATACTGTACACTTCCACACTGACACACACAGAGAATCAGAACACTTTTTTCTTGCCCATGCCCTTTCATTCCCAGAGGAGCCTTGCGTGCCCTCTTGAGGGAGCTTCAAGTTCCAAATAGGTTGAAGTCAGGATGCTTTCAATGCATAGAGAAACTCGTGTGTGTGTGTGTGTGTGTGTGTGTGTGTGTGTGTGTGTGTGTGTTTCATCCTGCTTGCATGCTTAGACACAGCTTTTTCAGGGCACAGAGGAATGGGTGGCACTGGCCAAGGGTCAGCTTGCTCCAGCCTGATGACATTCTATTTAAGTTGCATTGACTCAGGGTGAAGGAGGCGCTAAGGGCAAGGAGGAGGCTCTCTGCTTTGGAGACCACAGAGCATTTTCCCAAAGTCAAGTAACTCGAGTTGTGTAGATATGAACATGTGTCTTTCCTGGCAAAGGAACTCTGGGGGAGAAGGAAAGGAGAGAAGGAGTCCCCATGCCCCTACTTCCCCACAGACAGTTTTCTCTTACCTCTATCAAGCATTCTCAGCCCTGGCACATTTTCAGTCCACTTCCTTCACCTCCAGCCCCCAGGGTTGTCAATCATGGGCAGTGTGCTGAGCATGGCAGGTTTTTCTACCTATAGGCTTGTTCTAGGGAAAACATTTCAGGATAATTACAATTCCATGTCTGTTGCTATTTGGAGCAATTTTTTTTTTCTGAGTTTACTACTAGGAAAGGGACTGAGTGGAAAGACAGTAGACTAACTTTCTATAACTTTTAGTGTTTGCCCAGTCTGCATAATTTAGGTCTAGCAGTTACTGAGAATCATTAACTCAGGGGTTAAAGGATGGGTAATGGAGCTTTAATGGTGGTCTGTACTGAAGTGCCCAACCTTCCTGCAGGTCACAGGCAGGAAGGTGCAAGAGGGAGCCTGCTGAAAGGAAAAGAAGAGGAGATGAGGGGTAGCCGCTGGGGATCCAGCTTCAACAGGAGGGGCGGGAGAAGCAGCTGACGTCGCTTTCTCTTCAGCAGTGTGCTCCAACACCGCATGCTTTCTGTTCTTGGTCGATTCACATTCCAGTGGGTCCCCAGTGTAGTCTGCCCTCCACGCGGGAGTGAGGGAACGGGATGCGGGGTGGGCAGGCACAGCCCCTTCTGGTCCCCTGTGCTACTCTTGAGTCTGTTTAGTTTTGGTTCAAGAATCATCCAGAGCTTCTTGGAGCTCTTGGGCTATGAAAAATTCATGGACATTTAAAAAAAAAAGGTTTTTCTCTAAAATTTCCGACTTTTCCTCTCTCTCATCTTCTTCCTTCTCTTCCTTTTTCTCCTTCCTTTACTTTGCCCAAACATCCCTCCCTGAAGAGATGGCATAGCTCTGTACCTACAGAGAGCACCAGTGGGGCAGGCTAAGTGTGTTCCCAGCCCTGCCTGGCTGGGTTTCCATGTTCCCCAGGAGTTGTGGCATTCATAAAGCTTGGTCCCCGTCCCAGGGTCTTCCAGCAGTTCTAGTTACAGGGATGGCCTCATGATGAACCTTTGAGCCAGTCAAGATGACAGATGGCCCTTCCAGTCATAGTAAGGATGGCCCAGGGGTGTCTGTAGCACCGCGGAATGAGCAAGCAGATACATGTGGGTTTGACTTAGGAATCACGTATCCTTTTGACACACTCTTAATTACTACGACAAGTATCATTCTCCATCGCGTCTGCTTCTAATCCAATTAGTCTTAAGGCTATTCTTTCACCCTTGAAGGACCTTTGAAATCCTTGGGTCCTTTTTACTTTTGTTTTTGTCCGTTTGTTTTTCTTTTTGTTTTTTGTACAGACACAGCAGGCATGTTCAAGCATAGCATCCATATACTGCATTTTACAAGCACCAAACTAGCGGAGAAATAATCAGAAAGAATATTTCCAATGTCCCTTAGTGAAATCGAATGAAAATACATCTTATTCTGCTTAGTACTGTGACTATGCAAGGAGACTCAGTTGATTTTTTTCCTGTGGTGGCAACATTTGGTGTCTAGATGTGTTATTTGTTTAGACACACATATCTAGAGCATTATTTTATAAAATGCAATGAATCCAGGCAAGGCAGCATATGTGTGGTTTTTCAGCACAGAGCAGGGGCTCAAGGCCAGTTTTGGTTACAGAGCAAGTTGAAGGTCAGTGTGGGCTACATTAGGACCCCATTATAAAATGAACAACAGGAAGTTGAACTACAGTGTGTTGTTTTTCTGATATAAGCAAATGAATAATATTTTGCCAGGGAGCTAGACCATACACAATGTTTAATTTTTGAAGTTGATCACAAACCAGTTTTCCCTCATTGTGATCAAAGTAGTTCACAAAGGTTCACAGACATGAGTTGCGATAGACTTCTGAGAATCTCTGGGGTAATGTCTTCATTTTTATGTAAAAAAAAAAATGAAAGTGTGTGTGTGAATGAGATTTATCTTAATTCACTAGGAGACTGCAGAACTTCTCTCTCTTTTTGTTTTTGTTTGGTGTTTTTTTATGTTTTTGGTTTTGTTTTTGTTTTTGAGGGGGTCAATTTTGAGCCAAGATTCACATGCTGGATAAGAAGGTGCTTGGTGCTTGTGTAATCCAGGACAAACTATTCGCTCAGTACATTCCCATCAACCATTTCTATTCCTGCTTTCTAATGCGTATTATAATGTGTATGAATGAGCCATCACAATTGACTGGATTGTTCCAGAAAACCTTTTCTCTTGACTTTGCTGGAGCTAACTTAGTGCTCTTCACCAGGGTCCTTACAAAGGGCTTTGTACCTCAAGGTAAAAGGACAGAAGCTGCTCTAAATGGGGTTTTAAAAATAAGATGTGATTTTCTTTAAAGACATGTAACAATGGCTTTTGCGTTTCATTATCTCTGCATATTTTTTATGCATAGTAAATTTTGGAAAAACTCGTTTTCTTCGCGTTTACCCATGAGAAGCACACCCGTCAAACTGCCAGATTTTATGGCATTTTTCCCTACTCGTTTCACGCAAAGATACATTTGTATGCATAATTGCTCAGTAGCACTTTGCATTTTCTTGCTTCACAATGTGACTATATCATTAACACACAAGACGTTTCTAGAAATTTCCACAGCCATATTCCATTGCCAAGGAGCATCATTCCTTTGTAATCTACAATTAGAAAAGTCGTATCCTAGTAGGAAACATGTTCTCTTCTTGCAAGCTAACACAAAAAGTTTTTTAACCCTTTGGTTACACGATTTTTAGTGGGGCTTTATAACTTAAAGGCTCATATTTTTTGTCACAAACAATTACCTTGCTGGAAAGAATAGTGATGACAGCATCAGGACATTATCCATTTTCTCAGAATAGGTTTTCACACAGAAGCTTCTAGGCAATTATATTACCTTACCCTGAAAAATCTCCTCTACGGCAGCAACATCTTCCCTGTCAGGGAGTAAGGAGGAAAGGACTTAGCATATGTATTCCATATGCCAGACATAAACCCCTCACATTCTGTTATAAATCTGGATGTATTTGTCATTTAAGAGCCAGACACACAAACTGTGTCAGAGACAATAGATTACAATATAGGGGATGGTGCTCTTATATAGCATGCACAGTTAAAAAAACAAAAAATGGATGCTACCATTGTGTGGCGCTTTGCCCCTGACAGAACGAGCACAGATAGCCATCTCTGTCAGGAAAAGGCACAGAAAACATTCGCATAGAACACAAACCACCCAATGGGGCTTACTATGGGAAAGATACAGACAACAGCCATTGTTCTGATTTGTAACCCAAACTCATTCTTTGAAATAAAAATAGTCAGTTGTCTCTATGCAACAAGTATGTTCAATGTGGCTACCATGAGCCAGGCTGTAACACTATAAATGTCCACAGAAAGCCTAAGAGTCTCAAGAAAATTAAAACCACATGGAACATCACAGCGGTGGCCATTTGCTCAGCAGGCCCCTGACCCAAATGGGTGGCAGATAGAAGTAGACAGGAAAAAAAAAAATCGCCATTTGTTCACAAACTGTTCATCCTGAAGGTTCAAAAGTTTAAATTGTAGTGTTTGGTGTCTGTAAAATAACTTATAGGATCTTCTGGGGAATATGGACTGCTCACATTTAAAATTATGGCCACCATTCCCCTAGCTAGTACAAGCACAATGTATTAAATACACTATGAAGATGGCACACGTTCAGGAGGTTTGTTGCTGAGACTGGCTGTTGCCTGCAATTTGGAACCCATCTCTGCTTTGCGAGCTTTCCCACTTCCTGTTGCTATGCGGCTGGGAGCTGAGGAAGATGTGCTGTGATTACCGAATGGAAGAAGGCCAAAAAGAATTTCCAGAAATCTGTCCAACACTGAGACCCAATGCCCTCTGTTAATATGTGCAGCCACACATCAGAATTAGGTTTTGAGTCTTCGCATGTCTTTGTTTCAAATTCAAGCGTGCCCGGGAGGTGGTCATACACAGCCTTCCAGGACAGAAAGTGAGCCTCAGAAAGCTTTCTCATCAGGAGCGGGCAAATGGAGGGTAAGCAATGAAGCTTGGGAAGTGGACGCTGGAGAAATAAAAACTGACTGCTCATTTTGGATTTGGGGGCTTAGCCAGAAGTACGCCACAGTTCTAATGCAAGATTGTCTTTGTGAATCTATTGCCCTGGTTTTAAATAGCCCATGTCCCTCACACCTGTTGGTCTTGCCAGCACCAGACTTACACATAACACATTCTTGTGAAAGCTGCCTCAACCAGCTTAGTCAAGACTAAGAATAGCAACTCAGCATAGCCTGTGAGGAGCCTTTTGCTCTTAGGTTTCTGTAGATGTTCTCTCATTCCTAGCTCTGAAAAGAGACACATCACCCACTGGAAAACCATCAGAGGATAATTTTTGTAGTTTTGAAAAGAAAAAGACCAGTTTTAAAATTTTAATATTTTTTTTCTAATTATAGCCATGTAAACTTAGTCCACTTATCCCATGCATGCCTGCAAGAGCTGAGCGTGTACAAAGGTGGAAGAATCAAGTTAGTCACTAAAAAAAAAAAAAAAAAAAAAAATCCTGACACCCAGAATACTTCAGCATTACTAAGGTGAATTATAACATTTGTAGATTCCTAATGAGTAAACTCTTCCTTTCCCTGTGCTGTTGGTGTGTGTGGCCACTTCTGTGCTCAAGCCGGGCAGTTGTCTTGACCATCTTCACCATTCCCTATTGTTGACAACCTCACTAAAGTTAGAAACAGCTGCGTGGGCAATGATACCTCAGGCCAGTCACCATAGCACTCAGTCCCTTTAAAGCTACGATGCCAAGTTATGTGGGGATTAGATTCAGTTTTCATATTGGAATGCGCAGGTAAGGAAAGTGAGGCGTGGCTGGGTTTGTTAATGCTAGAGGTACTTCATCCATGTTCCTTTTGCTTGTGTGTAAAGTAGCCTTGAAGTTGTGTTATGATGGCTACAAGAGATAGGATTTTGACTGGGTTTCCAACGTGACTAAGCCAGAACAGTGCCAGAAACACTGTTCAGAGAGCTCGTGTGTCAGAATGAAGCTATCCTGTTTGACGCACCCGTAACATCACAAACGTTCTTTGGCCTTCTAAATCATCCTCGGTGGAAATGCATACCTGCTGTCATGCAGAAACGAAGTCGTTCTCACCAGTTAGAAGCCTGATGTTCCTTAACCCACGATAAACTAGAAAGCTCATGGTTTAGAATGAAAGTGTGGGCTCCATCGCTGTATATTGCTCCTAGAGCTTTCAAGTAGATGTCTGAAGAAGCAGGTAAACCCTTGGCTATCAAGCTGATGGTAAAACCTCTCTTTCTTCCTCTAGACTGGCCTATAATACCATGTTTCAATAAATAGAGTAAGGTAGAAGATTGTGGTTTCCAGTGTATAATTGCCAGTGACTGAACACCTTTATTGCTTTTGTGATGTTTATTTTATTTATTATTTTGTCTTGCTCAGTTTTATTTTGTGTGGGTGTGATGTGCGCAGGAGTGCATGTTTGCATATGTGAGCACAGGCACTAACATGCGACATTGCATGTGTGGCAGTCAGAGGACGTCCTTGGATATCAGCCCGCTCCTCCTACCTGCTTTGAAACAGTCTCCTTGGCTGTCTTTGCAGTTGTGTGTGTCAGGGGAGCTGGCCTATGAGCTTGTGGGAATTCTGCCTCTGCTCCTGTCTCACGGCGAGGAGCAGGCTGGTTTTACATGGTGTCCGGGGATCTGATCTCGGGTTCGCACACTTGTGTGTCAAGCACCAAATCCACGGAGCCATTTCCCCAACCTTATTTATTTATTTGTTGGCTTGTTTGTTTGTTTTTTGCTTTGGAGACAGGCTCTCACTGTGTAAGCTAGATTCTCCTTGAATTTGTGATGATCATTCTTCAGCTTTCAAAATACTGGGCTTCCAGGCATGTTCGCTCTCGCACCTTAAGCGGTTTGGTGGTTGACTGTGGTAGAATACTGTAACATTAGTCCAACCATCTTGACCACTCTATGTGTGCCGCTCAGTGGTGTTTAGTACACGCGCGTTGGCACGCAGCCAATGCGTTCTCCATCAGAACAAGTCTGTGATCATCTCAAACGAACTGAAGGGGTTTTTAAATAACAAGCTCTGGCTGCCTCAGATATGGTATTTATTATTTTATAGTTGTAGATTTAAAAAATCTCTTACCTCCGTTTTCTGCTAATGACTCATGATATAGTTTCTTTATATTTTAGTGTCTTTATATTTTTTTTCTATTTCAATGTACCTCATTTATCCCTTCCTGCTAGAATTAACACATGTGCCTTAAAATATCAAGCATCACAGAATATGGATATAGATGTAGATATAGATGGCAATTTCATAAATACACCAACTTACTAGGGTATTTTAAATGTTTTCTGGACTTCTGATATTGAAGTAATTTTCAAAACCCAAAGTTACAGCTTCTTCCCTCTCTTGCTGGGCATTGTTGTCCTAATCTGTTAACGCGGTTTATATAATTCCTGTTCTTGGTTCTATTCGCAGCCTAAAACTAATATCCAAAATGTAATTTTATGTTAAAAAAAATCAATACTTGTTGAGTACATGTATATCCTATGCGAAAAAAATTGTCTAAGTGTAATAATTTCTATATAATCAGGCCTGCCAGGGCCTTGCAGATGGCTGGCTCCAAGAAGAATTAAGGATAAAGTCCATATTTTATTTCCACAATATGGAAAGTGTGGAGTAAGCATTTTGAGAAAGTATGCATTTTCTAGGGCAGATGTATTTTCTGTTTTATGAATCTCAGGTGTAACACGTGCATGGCTTTTATACACTCTTCGGGTAATTTGTTTGCTGTCATTGAAAAGAATTTTAATGTATTTCCAACTTTTCTTTGCATCACTCAGATTTATCAACCATGACGTGATTCCTTCTCATTGTAAAAGCTCCCATATAATCTTAGGCTTATGTTTTCTTTGTGCTTCCTTTTGCTGATAATATAAAGGGAGAGCTGCCTAGAAGTGTGCTTGGCCTTCATGAATATGCAGAAGAGAGAGACAGCAGAGTGTTTAAAAGCACCGGGTTGTTTAGAGCATTGGTGCCCTGGTAAAGATGAACTGTTTGTAGACGGTCATAATCTGCCTGTCTACCCACAAGCCAGCTTTGGCCTCTATGGTGATGGCTCTTACTCCGCGTTGTTAATTAGTGTGTTTCTATTACAAAGCCAATGATCCACATCTAAGAAGTAAAACGACCTAAAATTTGCTCATGGAAATAACTTTAGCTGGGCAGATAGAACTCCTTTCTCACAAAATCTCACACACTGTACTAAATATTCTAAAAGTCAACCCCTCACTGACCTCTTCATTATGAACAGCTCCGTAGAGCCTTAATAATTTTTTTATACATAATGACTGGAGTACCAGGTTATTGAAAGATCTGGAATGTTGCTGGCATGCCGAAGATGGAATGAGTGTCAAATTTTATACCAAATAAATACAAATAAGAACATTTGGGTTAGCAAAAGTGTATGCTGAAGATGTTAGAGACTTTGCTGTTTGGCAGCCAGTGAGATAGTTTGTAACTAAAAATCATACATCAGAAAGTACTCTCGTTCAGAGATAAATGTCTATATAGGAGATTTGGTTTGGGGTGAAATTATTCTGAGTGCAATTGTGAGATTATGAATATTTGGAAATGTTTAGATATTTTGATTCAGAAAATTTAATATTGACTTTCTAATTTTAAGGAAATTATAATTTTATTTTTTATTAACTATAGCTCAAAGAGTCATTCAAAGATATAAAAAAGAAATTCAACAATTTGAAGTTTAATTACTTCAAGAAAAATGAAAAATCTCGAAACCTAAAGACTCTTCAGTATCAAATCCAACAAGTTGATACATATGCTGAAAAAATTCAGGTAATGGGAAAGTAGTTCGTATCTGTACCCGTGTGTGTGTGTGTGTGTGTGTGTGTGTGTGTGTGTGTGTGCACGTGTGTGTATTGCACAGTAACTGCAATCAGGCATAACTATTTTACAGAATTAAGATGATAGCTTTCTATTCTGTAACAATTTGACTTCTTAGAGTAAATAAGTGGTATTTGATTTATCTCATTTCCCCTCGAAAAGTAACAGCTTTATTCTCTATAATCCAGAGTTGGCCTTCCTGGCAATGTTTTAGCTCTTTGCCTCGTATCCAGTCAATTGATGCTGATTTTAAGCAGTTTAACTTACAGGAAAGAGTTCTTAGAGTGACATAGGCAGCATTCTACCCAGAGAACAATTTCTGGTGGACGCAGCCATGCACGCCTCTGTCCTGAGAGCTTCCTAGCATGTTCCTTTTTCAAATTTCAAGATAGTTCTGGCTGTCCCATGAAAGCAGAAGAAATGTTTGTACTTTGGGGGTACCGTGTTACGTTTCAGTGCATGTAAATGTTGTGTAGTATTTAAACCAGGTGAGAACTATCTCCACATAAACTCATGGTTTATTCTAAGAATATTCTACACTTCTGCATTTGACAATCACGGTCACCACTGTCTGTGTGTCACTGGCATGTGTGGCGGCACTGCTGGCTGCAGCAATTCATCAGAGCTTCCGGCCCCAGCATCTGTAACCTAGCGCCAATGACGGTTGGTGAGATGCATGTGCTGAGCCAGCGTTTCCTTGCTTCCCCATCACATGTGCATGCGTGTGTACCCATGTGCCTTGTATGCCCTCCACCACCTTCTTCCCTTCCTTGTCCACAGGTTCTGGAGCTCCTGATAAGTGTGTGTGTGTGTGTGTGTGTGTGTGTGTGTGTGTGTGTGTGTGATCTTATTAATAGGTTTTCTGTTTATTTGCAAGTACCGACTGAATAAAATATCTGGGACAAAATGTATTCCTTCCAAAGTACATTTTCAGTGATTATAATTTTAAGGCATCAGAATGGTAGAAGCAACAAGGTTTTTTTTTTTTTTCAAGTTATTCTGTTTTACTGCTAGCATTATAAGTAAGACTATAATTTCCTTTTAAAAAACATTTACCACCCCTTCCAGGCTTTAAGGAAGAAAATGGAAAAGGTTAATAATAAAACATCTGATTCATTCTTACGCTATTCAAGTGATAGAACTAGCATCCTTTCAGAAGCCATGAAGGATCTGAAAAAGCAGGTGGATGACTTTGACAAAGTTGTGACAGATTACAAGATGAATTTGGACCTTACTGAACATCTCCAGGAAGTAGTAGAAGAGGTATTTTCTTCTTGTTGTGATTATATTCTTGCCAAAATGTTACTTCAGAATGTGTTTTGTCCTGATTGTGGTGGAGAGCTCTTTAGTCCTGGTAGCTGGAGACAGAGGCAGGTAATTACAAGTTCTTGTACAGTTTAGGCTCCATAGTAAGACACTACTCAGAAAAAAAAATCTGCTTCTTTTAAAAAAATAAATTCAGTATTAGTTAGTGCTTTCATAAAAGTCCTGGTCATGCCCCTCTTTATTACTGTTCTTAGGGTAATTCCCTAAAGTTGAACTGCTAGGTCAAAGGGAATAAATGCCACAAGGATTTTGTTTCTCTGCATTGTCTGGTTGCTCTTCAAAAAGCTTGGGTTAATTTACTCCTCCCAAGACTATAAGAGTTTCTGTTTCTTCATAACCTGGATTCAGACTGCACTGATTGCACTGGTAACTGCCATCACTGCTGGAAACCTGCTTAAACTCTCAAGCAGCATGTTTCTTTCACAGCATTTGAAACCATTTCAGGACAAGCTGATCCTGGGATGTCTCAGGGACTTCATTTGTGGTGTTGTAACCTTTGCACTGTGGAGGGGATAGTAGTAGTCCGCCTAAAACACATGAAGTTTGACAAGGCCAAGTCAGTGTCTCATATTTTATATCAGGGAAACACCTGAGGACCTTGAGTGGTTTTTGTTGCCCATTATTCTGACATACAGGCTGTCTTCCTTTCACTGCTGATACAGTTAAGTGTTTGGACTCGTCACCATACTATGAAGCAGCTGATTCTTTGATATCTGACGTGCAGGTTTGCTGAAGCTTCTTGGCACATACTTAAAACTAGCTGTCACAGAGTCCTGTTTTGCTATTTTTTACCCAGTACAAATGTCCCTGGCTTGGGGCAGACATTCCTCCTGTCACAGTTACTTATTGTTTAGTGAAAACTTGTTTCATGCCTCTACTGTGCTTCGAAATAATGACTAGGTTCTATTTCACAAAGGTAGAATTCTATTCTTGGATGATATTTTCTTGATCCATATCTAAATTTCATTCCTAAAGGAAAATTTATAATTAGAATATTATTAAGGAAAAAATTTAACTTGTGGATTACCAGCAGTGTCAGTTGGTTATTTTGAACTTTGAGTATTATCCAACCAACGTCTGAATTCTTTTTAGTGACCAAAAGCTTTTGTTGCCTGCTCTTAAAAATTATACAACATTGTCTTAGGTACTGTATTTTAGATGAATCTAGAAAGGCAGGAGAATCAAAGCTATTCCCATACTTTTGCCTTCTAACTTTATTTGTGTATATTTCTTTAATTGCACTTTTAAAATACGTGCCTTGGGCTTCTAAATGAAAAGGTATTCATGTGACCATGTGCTGATATTTTCTTTAACATGACATGGAAAGTTGAAGGCCATATCAGTATAAAGTCTGAGGAAAGCAAAGCCTGAAGTGCCATTGCTCTGTGTAAGGAACTTCAGAACAAATCTCTCTGTTCTGTTTTCTTCCATTTTAATGTAGTGTAACTTTTGGCATGGCGATGCAAGCGCCACAGTTGTAAGAGTTGGAAGGTATTCCATGGAGTGCCAAACAAGGGAGGCTGTGGAGACCCTCCACAGGCAGTTCAGGAAGTTCATCACTCCCTCGGTGCCCCAGCAAGACGGGAGGATTCAGGAGGTCATCAGCATCGCTCGGCGCTTATATGGTGAGCTCCTGTGTAACGGTCAGGGACTTGCCACCAAACGTGACTATACTGAACCTATTCCAGCAGGAAACAGATCAAGGTCCTCCAGGAAAAGTCTCCATTCTATGTGCCGCAGAAGTAAACAGCAGGGGACAGAGGGCAGAACTCCTGAGCAGGAGGGATGCCTGCTTTTCAGCTGTCTTGAATCATTCCCCCTTCTCTATTCGCTTTGTGTTCCCTCCTCTCTGTCTCAAGGATCATAAAACCAGAGCCACGCTGGAGAGACTGAGAGTATCCTGTCCCCTAGAGTGAGCCCTTGAGCATAAGAAGACTCCGTGATAGCCGGTACAAAGCTTCCCCTAAAGCTTTCCATCCTCCTGTTTCCACAAAGTTTGATCTATGCATTTGAGAAAGGTCTGGAGAATCATCCCTCAGCTTCCTCTCACTGACAAACAAATTGGAGAACTCTGTCACCTCATGGGTGCTTTCTTTTCCTCCATGACAAGGAAAGAGCAGAAGAAGCCAAGTCCTTCCCTGGGTGACCACACTGCTTGAGGGCCCTAAGAATAGCTCCAGGTTCTCTGCTGTGATTCCTGTGAGACAAAGCAAAATCCCCAGGGACCAGGCAAAGGCGGCTGGGAGGAAGCCATTAGCAGGTGGTTCAGAAAGCATTCTCTGGCTGCCCCAAAGCTGCTCCAGGCACACGTTTCGTCAAGGGTATGCAGCCCTACTCCCAGATAAATGCAAAATGCTTGGCATCACAGACTGCACTGCCTATTAGGAAATCCTTAGGAATAAATTGTTTATTATTTTCCCAAAGGAAAATAGTAGAAATACATACACTGAAATATCGGCTGGCAGCAAATGAGAAGAAACAGATGTCTCTCCCTTGTCATTACATAAAGTTGCTTAAAAGGAAGTCTTTAGAACATCTCTAGCACCATGGATGTCTGTCTCAATTTTACTTCTACTCCTCTGTCGGTTTTCTGTGCTGGTGGGTTTTCCGTACTACCGTGACGGTACCGTACCTATTCAGTGCCAAGACGTGGCAAGTACTCACAAAGACCCCTTAAAGCACATTCTTCTACAACCTTGCAGTTTTGTGTCCCATCTTTTGGTTGCTCTGGCTCTTATTACCACCTGATATCTGCTTTAGTTAGCTGTTGTTTGGATTACCCCATTAGAATACAATCTCCAAACTCATGTAAATCCTCGCCTGTTGACTTGAGCATCATAGTATAGACTGAGGGCTCAATACATGTTGCAGGAGTGACTGAATACTATGACTGAAAATGTGGATTTTGGGGTTTCACATATTTATTAAGGATTCAACACACCCTTTAAAATATTTTATTTATTTATTTTAGCCCCCCATCTGTGTGTGTGTGTGTGTGTGTGTGTGTGTGTGTGTGTGTGTGTGTGTAGATTACATAGACCACAGCACACAATCAGAGGTCAGAGACAGAATGCAGAATCAGCTCTCTCCTACCATGTGAGTCCCGGGAATCAAACTCAGGTTCCCGGGCTTGGCAGCACCTTAATTCACTGAGATATCCCACCAGACCAAGAAGCTTGTACATCTTTTAAGTGCATCACACAATTACTACCCCAGGGATGTGAAATTAAGTCTTGCAGACAACCAAAGCATTCCTGAACCCTGAACTCTCAAATTTTACATTTATCTGGGGGATAGGGGTAGAGAGATAGATGCTACCGTGAACATGTAGAGGTCAGAGGACGACCTGTGGGGTCATTCTCTCCTTCTACCGTGCAGACCTCAGTGTTCCAACTCAGGTCCCTGGGCTTGAAAGCAGGCACCTTTACATGCTCAGCCATCTGCCAGTCAGAACCCAAACTTATAATGCGGATAAATTTATTTAAAAAACAGATTGTGAGTGCCTGCCATGCTTTAGGAGGTGTCTGCATTGCTCATGTAAAGACACAGGAGATGCCATTTCTGCAGTCAAGAAGCATGAGCTAGGCCTCAAAGACCCCACATAGCCGACGCCTGTCTTCTCTTATGTGTATGATTTTTACCTTCTGTTACTGACACTAAGGATTGAATTGGAGCCAGTCATAGTTAGTTTTTGTCAGTTTACACAAAATATAGTCTACAGTCTATATTTGGCAAGAAGGAATCTCGACAATAATTGCCTCCATCAGCTTGGCCTGGAGGCGTGTCTGTGGAGCATTTTATTGATTGCTGATTGATGTGAGAGCACCAGGCTCACTGTGAGAGTGCCATTCCTGAGCAGGGGAGCCTGGGTTGTGTGTGAAAGGTAACTAAACAAGCAAGCTAGGCAAGTAAGCCTGTCAGCAGCTTTCCTTCAAGGTCTCTGATTCAGTTCCTGCCTCCAGGTTCCTGTCTTAATGGTGGATGATTGCAAACAATAAGCTGAAATAAATCCTGTCCTCCTCACGTTACAGCTGGTCAGTATTTTACCAAAGCAACAGATGAAGAAAACTAGGATAGGGCCTCAGAGACACCAGGCAAGCACTCAGCCATTGGCCAACATCCATAGCCCAGAAGGAGTATCTGCTTATAAGAACTGTGTGTTCTTAAAAGCTATCGCTGCTTTTCAGAATGGCCTTGGTGGGACGTGCCTATTGAGTTGCCTGAGTTCTTCTGGATTCTAACCCCTCATATGATGTAAATCAGAGGCAAATAGTCCCTCCCCTTCAATACAGTGCATCTGCACATTATCCTGCTCTGCTGAGGACATTAGCCTGACCCCCCCCTTTGTCTCTGTTTGCTTTTGATTCCTCTGCGTTCAGAATCTCACCTGAAAAATCCTCACTCAGATCAGCATTCTTTGTGTTTTCTTCTAGAAGTTTTAAAGTTCCAGATCTTGAATTTGATTCTTTAATCTATTTCAAATTGATTTTTCTAATTCACAAACTGGGAAGAGATAGTGGTAGAAGTCTATTCTCTTAATATATGTATATAATATATGCCTATATATCATATACATATATATGTGTATATAAATCTTACTACATAGAATATTACATAATATATTTATATCTTACAGATAGATAGATAGATAGATAGATAGATAGATAGATAGATAGATAGATAGATGTAAGGATTTGGGGGCATAGATTTATTGTCTTAGCTTGGCCATGGATTAAAATATGTCAGAGAATTAACATTTATTACACATTTGGGGCAGGTAGATGCCTTCCTGGGAAATGTATATTCTTTAAGTGGTGAAGAATATTGAATGTCCTGGTAGAAAACCCTGACCAGTGCTGAGTATTAAGAGCATCAAAATCACCACATTATCTGGGCTCCATGAACGTGACACTGGTACAGCAGGTGCTGTCTTTATTGGTTCTCCTGGGCTAGTGAGTTTTCCGTCTCAGTAACCAAATACCTGGCTCGGAGTTTCAGAGACATCATCCTAGGCCTGGCTTGTCCCCCTTCGGGGTTAGGTCAGGTAGAATATTATGGCAATAAGAACGTATATCAGAGAAGGCTTCTCACTTGCCAACAGCCAGGAAACAGAGAGGGACAGAGAAGAGTCTAGGGACAAGATACTCCATCACAGGCATGTCCCCCAAGCAGCCCATCCCTCAATTCAGCCTACTATCCACAGGATCTGCTACCCCCCAATAGTCAATTTATTTATTACCTCATCAACAAGCTAATCCACTGATTAAGTCAGAGGTCTGGGGATCCCACCTCGGAACTTAACATTGAGGGCCAAGCCTCAATATGAAAGACTTATGTCAATATTTCCTAATCAAACCACAATCTGGACACAATGGTGCATGCCTATAATCCCAGCGTTTAGGAAATGGGGCTTATATAGTGAGTTTAAGGCTAGCCTGCGCTACGTGAGAGCATGTCCCTAACCCGTTCATCCATCTCAACACCCTACCTCACATCCAAACATATCTATAACACTTAGCTTTTTAAAAATGGTTGCATTCATTGATTTGTTTGCTCAGTATGTGTTCGCTAGGAGTTTGCTCTCCACTCACACTTGAAAAAGACACTTGGGAGACAACACCCCGTTCTTTCTATTTTTCTGTTAAAAATTTATGTAGGTTTATCTTTGCTCCTTCCCAGGTTTGGACGAAGGGCAAAAATATGCTGAGAAGATTGTCACAAGACACAAGGAGATTCTTGAATCTATTACTGAATTATGTGGTTCTCTCATGGAGCTTAAGGAAAAACTGACGGTAATTTTTTTTTTCTTTCTAGAATATGTATTATCAAGTGGTATAAATAAAAAACGTGTTAATCAAATGTCTTTTGGTGCAGAGATGTTCTGCGACGAGCTCTCAAGAGACAAAACATGCACATTTATTTCACAGCATTCTAACATAATTATCTGGGGGTTGAGATAATCAGTTCTGTTTCCTTCCCATCACTGCAGAGAAGAATGCTGCTGGCAACGAGGGCTAACTACAATTAGGGCGTCTCATTTACATTCCCATGGATCATAGCCTAGACGGTAAAAGTGCCGTTAAAACCAAAGCCAAGTTTATACTAAGGAGTCTTATGTTTACATTCATAAATAACAGGTGGAATGGTTTTTCTTCCTCCAGACTATGGCACCAAAGAAAGTAACATTAATATTCAGGTATTATATTTATTGAGATTTAGCATTATGGAAGTATTAAGTTAATCATTACAATCCTCATGGAATTAAACTAAAGTGATAGGTAAAAACAGGGAAAATGCTGACGAGGGTTATGGTAGACAAAACCAACTAAGGGAAAACTAGGTTGTCATGCTCAAAATGTTTTGGTTGATGCTGGTTTTACAGCTCAATAGGGGAGATGGTTTAGGATAACAGCTATATCACTAAGAACATGAGCTGTAGATCGGAACTCAGTTGCTTGGAATACCCTTGGGTCAACTGATTACAAGTGACTACATTTTCTAACCTATGTGGACGCCACAGTGGTGCCAAGGCTTGACTATGAACAAAGTGTCACTCCGTTAATCATTGCTGTTGTTCTCACATATTAATGAACTTGCGGTTCATATAGAATTGTATCTATTTCACGGCAAATATTTGTTATGACTTATGATATCATAAATTTGAGTGTTTACTCAAGTTAGACTATCTGAGGGAATTTCAATTCAGTAGTTACACAATCAAGTTACCTTTCTCCTTCTGCTAAGCATCTAGATATTTCAGCTTGTTTTCTTTCCATCATTTTACATCACAATACAAGGAACATCTCTGTGTTTTGGACTTTTCATTCTTCTGTAGTATATTTGTATTATTCTCCAACACAGATTTGAAAAATTAGTAAGGAAATGCTTTGTTTCAATATGCGAGCCAAATTACCTTTCATAAATATTTTACAACTGTGAAGCCACTAGTAAGATGTGAGTCAACCGCTTCACTCCATGGGGGCTGCTTCTTCTCCATTGCTCTGTGCCTAGGCAGAATGTCCCCCTTTCTATGACTCTGCTGGCCACCGTCGACAGTGACCTCTTTATATTGTACATCTTCAGCTGAATAAAATTTGGTCGTTCCAAATGATATTTCTCTCCATCTGTCACTTCCATGGCTCTGTTCTTGGAAAAGCTGCTTCCATATCCTGCCTCCACTTTCCCCTCCACTATGCCTTGGGTACTCCTTTCAGTTATGATGGTGCTCTCTCTTTTGCACCTCCAATTTGTCACTCAGATACTCTCTTATCCTACTTATGAGTCCCTGGATTCTATAGCTGGTTTGATTTCCCTTCCTAAACACGCTTGGGCTCATGTCCTTCTGTATTAAAAGCCCTTCCCTGCAGGACCCTCCCGTGGCTTTATGACTGGCCTCCTTCTTCATTGCTGTGCTTCTGTGTTCATAGAAGCTTCCTGTCTCGATCCTTAGTGTTTCTGTTGCTAGACTCAGACTCCAAACACATGGCCCTCTATCAAAATCTTTTTTTTTATACTTGCATGTCAGTAATATACAGTTTTAATTATTTGCAGTGTTTTCCTTTTTTTTTCCCTTGGACAACAGTTTGGTTTATTGAGTATTTATAATTATTAACAATTGCTCCTGGGTAAACTCATTAAAATTACCCACTTTCAATATGCTTTCATTCATTCTCATTTTTTCCTTTTAATTTATTATTTAATATATTACATTTTTATTTTTTATTTATTACAATTTATTCACTTTGTATCCCAGCTATGACTCCCTCCTTCTTCCCCTCCCAATCCTGCCCTCCCTCCCTCTTCGTCTCCTATGCCTCTTCTCCAGTACACTGATAGGGGAGGTCCTCCTCCCCTTCCATCTCACCCTAGTCTATCAGGTCTCATCAAGACTGGCTGCATTGTCTTCCTCTGTGGCCTGGCAAGGCTGCATTCCCTCCCCCAGGGGGTGATCAAAACAACTGAGTTCATGTCAAAGACAGTGCCTGTTTCCCCTACTAGGGCACCCGCTTGGACACTGAGCTGCCATGGGCTACATCTGTGCAGGGGTTCTAGGTTATCTCCATGCATGGTCCTTGGTTGGAATATCAATTTCAGATAAGATCTCTGGACACAGATTTTTAATTTCTGTTGTTCTCCTTGTGGAGCTCCTGTCCCCTCCAGGTCTTTCTATCACCCCCTTCTTTCATAAGATTCCCTGCACTCTGCCCAAAGTTCACTATGAGTCCCAGTATTTGCTTCTATACCCTACTGGGTAGAGTCTTTCAGAGGCCCTCTGTCCTGTTTCCTGTTTTTTCCATCTTCCAATGCCTATTCCATTTGCCTTTCTGAATGAGGATAGATCATCTTATCTAAGGTCCTCCTTCTTGCTTAGCTTCTTAAGGTGTACATATTTTAGTATGTTTATCCTATATTATATATCTAATATCCACTTATAAGTGAGTATATACCATGTGTGTGTTTCTGGGATACCTCATTCATGATGATCTTTTCTAGTTCCCACCATTTGCCTGCAAATTTCATGATTTTCTTGTTTTTAATTGCTTAGTAATATTCCATTGTATAGATGTACCACAATTTTTGTATCCATTCCTCAACTGAGGGGCATCTGGGTTGTTTCCAGCTTCTGACTATTACCAATAAAGCTACTACAAACATGGTTGAGCAAATGTCCTTGTTGTGTACTTGAGCATCTTTTGGATATATGCCTAGGAGTGGTATAGCTGGATCTTGAGGAAGCGCTGTTCCTAATTGTCTGAGAAAGCACCAGATTGATTTCCAAAGTGGTTGGACAAATTTACATTCCCACCAGCAGTGGAGGAGGGTTCCCCTTTCTCCACATCCTCTCCAGCATGTGTTGTCATTTGAGTTTTTTATCTTAGCCATTCTGATGGGTGTAAGGTGAAATCTCAGGGCTGTTTTGCTTGCAACTCTCTGATGGCTAAGGATGTTAAGCATTTCTTTAAGTGTTTCTCTGCCAAGCATACCCAAAGTCAAATAGAAATACCCCTTCCTCCACACAAATCTTTCTTGTTCCTCCTTGCTGTGGTCTTTCTCATCCACCTTAGTGTGTTCCAGCTGCTGTGTTAAATACTATAGACCTGGTGGTGCATAAGCAACAGACATTTGCTTCCCACAATTCTGGGGGTTAGGAAGTCTGAAATCAAGACACCTTGGGAGCTCCTGCTTCCCTATAGTCACCTCACTCCAAATTTTTGATGTCTGAGGGCAAAGGGTCTCTCGGGTCTCTTCTCCAGCTTCATTAATATATTCCTAGGGCCCTACCCCTTCCTACATGGGAGCTTCTGAAAAGAGAAAGCACAGACTCCTAAATGGAGGCTAAAATGGTGCTAAGAATCTATTGCTGTCTGTGTAATAATCTGACACTTGAAAGGGCTGACATACAGTCTCTAGTGATTTTCAAGTCACCTCGAGATAGAGATAAAACCTTCTTCTTTGTTAGCTTTTTGGTTTGGGTGTTCCGTTTGTTTGTTTATAGGACAGAGTCTCACGGTGTAACCCTTGGCCATCTTGGAACTCACTATGTAGACTAAACTTACCTCAAACTCACAGAGATCCAAGTGCCTCTGCCTCCCCTGTCCTGGGATTAAGAGTGTGCAGCAGAGTGTTGCTTTCCTTGTTCCAGAGAGAAGCTATGCGTCCAAAAAGGTTAGAAGTGCTGTCTCTGGGTCTGCAGTCACTGGCAGTCAGTCTGGAATTTGAAGTTACATCTAATTTAACACCTAGAATTCTTTCCACAAGAGCTGCCATTGTGGTTTGGGTTCCAAGTATGGATTAGTGCCCAGCGGCTCATCCAGTGATACAAACACAGTTTTATTTTGGAGTTGAGACTCAAAGCTGAATTTCCCTCAGGAGGCTTTCCCCGAATTCTCTGAGCAAGTGTAATGTGTGCACTGGGGAGTACGCCTGTTTCCATAGCCATCAAATACCATAATCCACGTGCAACCATCTTCCACTATAATGTAAGCATTTAAAAACTGTGTGTTCCATCACTTGGGACACCTGTGCCTCAATAATTCTTCACAAAACCTTGGCCCTCATGCTGCCCCCTGCCAGTTTGTAAAGCCCCACTACCACTGTGACTAAAGCTGAGCCCCATAAAATGCAGGAACAAGTCATATTCACAGGAGACAGCCTGTGTGCCCAGCTGTTCTATTTCCTTCTTCTCTTCAATACTCCCGCAGTTTGCTTGTGTGGATTCTCTGGCTCTTCTACGTTATTATCCTCCAGAGACCCCATAATTTCTTCCTTACTGATACTCTTCATCCTTGTCGGTTAAACTGTCTTACACAGTGATTCCCATCCCCAAAGAACATGCCTGAAAGAGCATCCTAGAGTAACAGTTGTGTCCTCCTTTGAACAGTCGGTTTTCCTGGCAATGAACTTTACCAGAGGGATGAGGCAGGAGGAGAGCTCTGAGCTTGAAGGGAGAACATTGGTCTCTTGTGGAATGCATTTCCTGAAAGGTGCTATTGGCTTATGTTGTTTTTTTTTTTTTTTTTTTTTTTCTGAGTGGTTACAAAATGGCATTATTTCTCCAACTTCCTGGCTCAGGCTCTCACTAAATTTGCTTTGTACAGCAGGGAGATGCTCCAATGATGAATCCAAATTTGGAAGATTTCCATGACAATTGCATTGACCTACTAAAGGAGCCAGTGAGAAAAGTGCAGGCAACATTAAATGAAGAAAGGAATGAGGTAATGAAAGTGCTTTGCTTCAGCTATGTGTTAATTTTGTGTTTGTGTATGTGAGATTTGTCCTTGGGAATCAACCATGTCTTGCCCATCAAGTTTTTGAATATAAACTCAATGTGAGATGTGAGTTTTCTCATCCCTACTATGCTAGCTACCTTTACTTGATCATTCTCTCTCTCTCTTTATGTCTCTCTCTCTCTCTCTCTCTCTCTCTCTCTCTCTCTCTTTTGCTCTCCGTGTCCCCTCTACTGAATCTAGGAGCCATAAGGATTTCACAGACACACCAGAATTCCAGTGTCATGTTAGCCTAGGCTAGTTCTATTCTTTAATCTTTTGTTCCATTGTCCTTTTACAGTCAGTCCTATTTCATTTTATTTGAATATCCATTAGAGTATCACCAAAAGGAGAGGCTTTTTTTAAATTATTTTACATTGCCCATTATGAAATACGAGTACATAAAACTAGGTTCCATCTTTTTCCCCTAGACTCTAACTCCACATGAGATGTCTAAGCCTCTGTACTAAAACACTGAATCCAGATGAAATATAAATATTATTTAAACAAATGTTTAAGCCTTTTGTCATGTATGTAACTTAAAGCAAGTAACAAAAACTACAACTACTCACAAATACAAATGCATCATGCTTTCACAACTCTTAAGAATTCAGTTGAAAAAGTGTAACAGCATCCCCTTGCTACTTCCTGGCAGATGCCCATAAGGCACTGCTGCCTGCGCAAACTATACGAGAAAAATGATGCCTATGGACATGGCCAATGTCCTCCTGGAGAGTAATACCATCCCTTGTATGTGTATAAGGAGAACTGGTGGAAATGAAAAAGAATAGTATTAAATATCCACATTTTTAAATCTATGACTTTAAATATTTTTTTTTCAATTTGGTATAATATTATTTTTTTTGGTTTGCATAGTTTCCCATATAACGTGTTAGATACATTTAATAAAGACTCAGAAACAAAAATTATGGCTGCTACAGCAACTACACCATCATTTATATTATACCTAGTAAAAAGGTTTTTATCTTGCTTTTATCTATTTTTATTAGAAGAAAGAAATGTCTTTAAGTAAAACAAATACAGCTTATTTTCATTGAAAAGTGACTTTTATTTTAAAATAAATTAAAAGACACACTAGATCGTCAGTCATTTAGAATGAAGTGAAGCTCCACAATTATAGCTGTCAAGAATTCTCACTGACATCATTCCCTACCCAGTCTGCTGCAGTTGGCGCAGACAACATAATGAATGGGTAGCAGCAATCTTCATTTTTTCAAGCAGCTCAATCATACTTACCCTCTTATTGTCTCTGTTATTTACATATAGGTCAGATGTAATGATTCTCCAAAACCTCCAGTGGGCAGATAATAGGAAGCCTGAAGCAGAAGCCTAGAATCACTGCATAGCCTTAAATGATAAGGCTTAAATCACTGATAGCCTTATATGCTGTAAATTTCCCTCAAAATTATTCCAGTTGGGGGGAAAAAACAGTTGTACTGAACAGTTATAAGAACATATTTATGACAGAAAGTATCTCTAAGAGATGGTGAAGTCCTCCTCGTGTATCCTGACCCCCCAATGGGGGAGATGGCGTTATGCAACCCCATCGATAGAACACACACAGCACGGTCAGCAGATTAGTACCTCTGTTTCATCCCCAGGCCTGGTGCCCAAGCTAAATCTAAAGCGAAATCAGACACCCCAAAGGTTAAACGGCAGCACAGAGCATTAAAAGACTCCCGTAAAGTCATGGAATTGTTTGGTAGCTGGTGAGGGGGTTAGATGCCAGCCTTGAGAAGTGCAGGATTTAGTGCTAGGAGGGATTTGACAATCATCTGCTGAAATGTCATGTTACAACGAGGAAACTGAGACAAAGGAACGTTAAATAGTTTTCCCTCCAAAACACTAGAAACTAGTACAAGAAGAGGGCGGGCAGCCTAGTCCTTTTGGATTTAAGCAGAATACCTCTTACACAACACCAAGGACCTGGGTCATACACGCGAGCTGTTTGTCATGAAGCTGTGGATGTCCTGCCACCCCTCCCTGTGCTCTCTGGCCTGCTGTGTGCTTGAGGGTTAATAACAGAATGAGTCCCTCTCCTCCACACAGCTCAGTGGTGTACGCTCACCCGCTGGGAGGAAGCCCCTGGGTCTTCTCGTCATATAACAGGGTTAGACTTTGCAGAGACGGATGCCTTGGAAGACTCACAAGCTAAAGGGTTCTCCTTACCTATCTGCTCTCTTTCTTTACCATGTCAGCCCAGGTGCCCAAGGTCTCAGGTTCCCTTATCTGCCAACGAGCCCTCCCTGGGCCTTTTCCCCCAAAGCCCTTCATACAGAAACCCTATACCTAATATTTTTATTTACCTCCCACTAATCCCTACTAAATCTTATTTATGCTAAAGTAAAAACACCTACTGTAGAGCTGTTTTGGAATGCAAAGTGTATGGTGTTCCCTTGAGTGTTCAGGGAGCACTTCTCTCCATGCAGTGTACTTTAAGGATCAATTCTGCTCACCTAGATCTACAATATGATTCTATTCCTTTCCAGAACTGGCCCCATTCACAGGCAATGACTGTGAATCCAAGTGGCTGTGCCTAGCTGTGGAAATTAAAGTTCAGCAGCTATGCCAGACATATGAACCAGGGTGATAGGCATATAATTAATTAAAAGTCAGTTTATCATTAGGTGTATAAATAGCCAGAGATTGTCAAGGAAAAATATACATAGAAGATTAAACAAAGAGCAAGGAGTTGGGGGAATGTCTCAGTCAGTAACGTTCTTACCACACAATCATGAGCACCCCATGCAGATTCCTCACACCCTGTAAAGAGCTCAACACCAGTGTGTGCCCGTCACACCAGCTCTGAAGAGACTGAGACAGGAGGATCACTAGAGCTGGCTGGTGGCCTTATCAGGCTGAGTTGATGAGCTGCAAGTACCAATTAATATACTAATAACAACAATTGAGGAAAATACCCAGTGTAGACATCTGGCCTACATACACATATGCACACAAGTGAGCACATACACATACATAAACACATACATATCATGTACACAACAAAACAACAACAGAAAACCTCAAAACACACACACACACACACACACACACACACACACACAAAGCTGTTTCGATGGTGGGAAAAGAGAATCACCACCACAGCAAAGCCCAGTGAAAAAGGTGTAAGAGAAACAAATATGGAGCAGACCCATGTTCAGCAAACCAGAGCAGAACTTCCCAGCTAGCGCCCCAGCACTCATTAGAATAATGTAAGTGTCCGATAGAAGCAACGATTTCATACTGGGAAAATTAGAAAAGATAGCCGCTACCTGTGAATGCTTAGATACCTTTTTCATAAATGAAAACTACGGTTAGGATTTAGGTTTAGGAAGCTATGCCTCAGTGAGCTTTAAAAGTATTTATTGTAACATTTTATAACAACTTGAAGACCGCCTACCCATTTCCTTATCCATAACAAAAGCAGAAGGGCCAAGAGCCATATGGACTTGGTTGGAAAAACCATTTGCATAAAATGTCCTTTCTTTTGCTTGCTGAAAGGACTGCTGTGCGGGTAATTCTTGCTAAGTATCATGGGCATAATTTACTATGCTTTCAGGAAATCGTGTATTTGGTAAACACACTTGTGGTTCCCCCCCTTCATAAGATAACTGAAAAGAAATAGGAACTGAAGAAGGATTTGGTCAGGAGAGAATTTTATCTATGGCTGTTAAGCAGTATTTCATTTCACTCGAGGGCACTTTGAATACTTTGGGTCATGGGAATAGGACTGTTCCCAAAGCTACACTTGGCGATCAGGGACTCCTGTGCCCTTCCCCCAAGGCTTACCTCACCTTAGGTTTTCACCTCCCGCTAGGTGTCACTGTCATGGGAAGCTGGGCAAAGAAGTGTGTCCACCTAATGAAACTGTGGCTTTACTCCTTGGAAGGGGCAGGTGCCAGGAGCGGATGTCTTGACCATCAGTGGAACAAGGGAAGACAGGCTTCCCGTGGACTTGAGGCAGTCCTCATCTGACAGAGGTGCCAGTGCCCAGGGTCTGATCCTGGTGGAAGACATGTTGTCTGGAGAAGAATCTGAGTGTGCGTCATCTGATGACATCTCCTTGCCTCCACTCCCAACGAGCCCCGAGTCCCCTCTGGCACCATCAGACGTGGAGATGGAAGAACTTGCCAGCTCTTCAGCTGTCGCCCTCCACATCAGCGATTACAGGACTCACACAGGCACTGGTGATGTCGGGGAGGCCCAGGCTTCTGTTCTTTCCCCACCCATGGCTTTTGCTCATGGGTGCCATAATAAGAAAGACACGTTCACAAGTCACTTTGAGAGGCCCTACCCACAATTCCAAGCTGAATCCTCATTAGCCTCCAGGGGATCAGGAGAGATGAGTACTGACTTACACATCAGTGTGAAATGTCCAGCAAGTGTGCCCCAAGAGGTGCATGACACAGCTCTGCAGCAAGGCGCCCGGGCTCAGGAGAGCTCACTAGAAACCCAGGAGAAGGTGCATGCAGATTCTAATGCCACTAAAACCCAAGACAGGCTGCATGTGGTCCCTGACCTCACCCCTCAATCTGACACGAGCAGCAGCCATCAGAGGCAAGTGGGTCCCCAAGGAGACAGGAAAGATGCATCTGCAGAAAACAGCACGGTCAGCGTAGCTGGCCGGGCGCCTCATTTCTCCAGGCTGCTGTCCAATGTAACTGTTGTGGAAGGTTCCCCGGTGACTCTGGAGGTGGAAGTTACAGGATCCCCGGAGCCTACACTGACATGGTGGGTAGCCTATAATGACACACCGTAGACAGAAATTAGTAACTGCTCAGAGCATCTTATCCCGTGTGAACTAGCCTGAAGGTTCGGGGCTGGCCGACTAACCCCACAACACTGACACTCAACTCTGCATGGTTTGATCTCATGTCACACTTTACTCAAAAGCTCTTTAATACCCTGGGAGCAGGGAGTAAACATCTCAAGTAATGCTTTAACACCCCCCCCCCCGCCCCCATGCACTGGAGGCTAAATCTGTTAGGTTTTCTTTCCATTGAGCATTCCTCATTTCCAGTAAGCAGGTCTTCAAATACCAACCCTATTGTCTGTTTCTGCATTGGTCTGGAATGTTCTTGGATCAACACTCTCCTGGCAATTAAAGAAAGCCTAATAAGACACTGTAGATTTTTTTTTCTTTCTCTTTACTCACTCATTTCATCTTGCCAACTCAGGTACCCGTGTGCTACTTGTTTTGCTAGGGTTTCTTTTCCTAAATGTATGCAATGTGAAAGGCAAACTACTTCTTTAGTCGCGGCCCCAGGTGGCTGAAAATGAACTCATTTTTGGAAAGTGATGTAATAACTGAGCTGTGAACAATGAACAGTGCATCCTCACTCTAGAGACATGGTTGCCCTTTGGTCTCGGTAAAAGTAAACAGCAAAGTCGAAGCTCTGAACTTCTTGTGGATAACAAAGCAGTCCTAACTTTCTACGGAGGTTACTTTTAAACCTTCACAGAATGTCCATCCTTAAACAAACTCACTTGTGATGTGAGTTTATGCTTAAAGGCTAAGATAAGTGTACTGTATCTTATCTATCAGGAATTGTCCGTAAAAATTTGTTTTGTTTTTGCATGTCCAATTAATGGCACTTGACTTGTGAGCCGGAGACCTACAGAATTTAGAAGAAAATTTTGGTGCTCAAAAAGTGAGAGAATCTGCACTTGTGTAAGAGCAGGAATTAGCACTTTTTTGCTTTGATATTTTTTGCAATTGCATGTATTTTTTTTTTACAAATCAAACCTTTTGTATTTATGAGTTCAATAAGTATTTATTTCATAATTAAATATTAGTTCACCCCAAAGAAAGATGCCATCTGAGGTGTTTCTTATTTTTCCCTGTGCAAACAAACAACTCCTTCAGGGTTAGTGCATACCGCTGAAGACCAGTGGCAACGTGTGTATTGTTGGAGAACTGTTACAAATCGTGCAAAAAATGAAACCGTTTTGCCATCAGATCTAGAGTTTCGGCCAACAAACACCTGACAGGCTATCACAGAGTTGTTCAGTTTCAGGCCATTCTGAAAATGCAAAAGTATCACTTGGGTAACGGGAACAAAGCTTGACTCTGGGAGCTGGAGCAAGCATAAGGACCTGATCTCTTATTAAATTCTGGGTACTGGCATCTGGAGTCTCAGCCCTGGAGTCATGGAGACAGTAGCTGAATCAATCAGCTCCAGGGTTTTTGTTTTGTTTGTCTTATTTTTATAGGGTTTCTCCGTATAGCCTTGGCTGTCCTGGACTCACTTTGTAGACCAGACTGGCCTCGAACTCAGAAATCTGCCTGCCTCTGCCTCCCTGAGGACTGGGGTTATAGCACTAAGCCACCATGCCTGGCTTGAGCGCCAGGTTCTATAGGAAGACCCTGGCCATCAGCTTGTGGCCTTCACACATGCATACATACATACACATGTGCCCACACAAAAACATACATCACAGACACAGACACATACACAAAATTTGGCTTGGGTTTCTCTTCAGTCCTTGTGTGGGAGTGGTGATAAATAAATAGATGTAGAATGTGAGAAACAAGTGATTTTCTGTCTAAGACGACGCAGGTGAGTCTCCATGTTCATAGAGAAATTACAGAATTAAGTCATTTATGTCAAGAGGTAATGTGATAAATGCCTTTTACGATGAGAAGGCATCGTCTTCCAATGAATTTAATTCACAAATAAGATGAGGAGCAGCAGGAGCAGTGTGAAGTCCCTCCCTTCACCATGCGTGTGGTGTGGGAACACAATGGGCAAATGAGCCTCATGCCCACACAGATGCCAAATGGGAGTCTCTGCTGCTGCTAAAAGCTGCAGAGAGGGTGAAGTAGGCTGGTAAATACAAGTGCCGCTTCACGCTGTCGGTAGCTGTTGCCGTGAGCAATGGTGAGCCTGTATGACCAGATGGCCTGGGTTTTGTTGTTGTTGTTGTTTGGTTTGTGTGTGTATCTATCTGTGTGTCTGTGTCTTTGTGTGTATGTTTGCGTGTGTGTGTTTAAAGAATAACTCGATGTGTGTATTTTCATCTATAATACTTTACCTGTTAAATGCTGTCATAGAACTTTTAAAAGCATGGTCTGAGTGAGTCAAGGGTCAGGGTAATTTTCTGACTACAGGTTGACAAACTGTCTCATTGGCATCTACTGTAGCTGGACAGTTCCTGTTAATGCTAGAGAACGCTGCAGCGGGGGTGGGCCTGGCTGTAGGTGTGAGAACTCAGAAATGACAGAGCCAAGAAGTAATCCTGACTTAAAACTGACTCTCTGCTTTAGGTTCAAGAAGGGCCAGAAATTGTGTGCTGATGGACACTTACAGGTTTTGCACAAGGACACAAAGCATTCAGTGTTCATCCCGAAGGTATGTGAGGCGGACGCTGGCCTCTATGTGGCCCAAGCCCAAAACTCTAGTGGCACCCTGTCTTCCAAAGCCATCCTCCATGTGACAGGTAACCATGGGCCTCCAATCGCGAGAATAAACTGGATTCTGCTGTGTATCGTCTATGTCAGTGTGTCACTGATATACTGGCTGCTTGCATAGCAATGAGGCACTGGCTTCCCTGGACATTGTTATGAGCCTAAAGGACAATATGGTTGGTTTTTTTCTCACGCATCATACAAAGCACACCCTACCAACTTATCTCCACTTTGATGAATACCACTGCTAGGTGAAATAATTACATTTTCTCTACTGTTTAACATACTTGGGAAACATGGAAAATTATATACAGTGGATAATTATATACTTTGTACTTTAGGAAAAGAAATATTCTATATAATATGCTGATTTCTTGTTTAAAGGCATGTGAATGCTCACAGAAAACACAAGGATCCTAGAGATGTGACTAAGTTTCAAATACAAATATTTGGTAATTTCCTTTCAACTATGCTCAGAACCATCTCTTGGTAGTGCATTACATCAACCCGAATTTATGATTTTCAGTATTGTATTAGCTCTCCTTCAATCTTGCTTTTCATGTCTTGATCTTGTTTACTGAAACATGTTCTATGTTGTGTCAGCATGGTCTACATTCCCAGCACTGAGGCTGTGACTATCAGTAACTGTTTCTCATGGTGATCTTTTGGGGGTTGATGCTGGAGAACAGACATGCTATCAACTTTACAGTGGGTCAACCTTTCTATTAGCTCTGTATGTCATATGTCGAGATGGAACACGGGCTGCAAGAGGGGATCAGTTTTTTCTTTGTCCTTCCACTGCTGTGCGTTGGCCATCCTGTGCATAACTGTAAAAGGTCCTACTGTACCTGACTCTGATGCTGCTGCTAAACACTCGTGTTATAAACAATTGCAAGACATCTCAGTGCCTCACTTTCCCATCTGGAAAAGGGGCTCATCTACCTCTTGACTATTGAATTTTACTTCATTTTCTATGGGGATCAGGCCAATGAAACGTGCTTGGTGAAGACTCATCATAATGCTTGGCATGATTTGCTATCTTGCTGCTCATTGCCCATGAATTCCCTTTCAGATGCTGGTCTTTTAGAATACGAAATGAAAAGAACGCTGCTAATATGTAATCCCCAACTACTTACTCCCCTAAGGGAGGATGAGACTGATGTTCTATGAATTGGAGTTTAAAATTCTTTTCAAACTTCTTAAAACTACATCCTTTTCAAAGACCTGACAATAACCTCCAGAGGATATAGTTATGATGCATTAGGGGGAGCCTGGGTAAGACAGAAGACAAATCTAGCCTTCTTGTTGTACAATTATCACTTTAATATTGAAGAATGTTATGTGGCTTTCTAAAATGCATTATTCAGAAAAATAAGAGAGGTATTTGTTTTCATATTTTAAACTCCATCTGTCATGCTAAAATAAAATCTTGGGTCGAAACAGTAATATATTACAGATTTTTGATGAAGGAAAGAAATTAATTACGTTGCTAGAAGTCTGTCTACAAATAATCAAAATATTTAAGTAGAATATATTTGACATGGTATTAAAAATCTACTGAATGTTGTGGAAGATAAGAAATGTCCAGTCAAGTAAAAACTTGGCTGATTTTTTTTTCTTGTTTTTGCATATTCAATTTAATTAAAAAGATGAAACTGTTTTTTTTTTCCAATTTTGACAGAAAGCTGTTAAAATCTTATATACACGTAATCCTGGGGACTTCAATCTTTTCAGTCTTATCATTTTGTCCAATTTTAAGATTTTCCATATCTTACCTAGCTACTAAGGCCTATGTGGAAGCTAAACCATAAAATCTATTCATGTCTAAAAGAGGCCAGCAGGTAACAAATTCTGCCCTGTCACACACTTTATAGTGCTTATTAATTTCACTAGGTCTCTGTTCCGGTGTCATCACCCTGGTCGTATTTACGTTTGAAGATTGCTAGAGCATGTGAGGTACAAGCTCACTTTACCCATTTCACTTTAGTTAATATTCTTCCTTCAGGGAGCCAAGGGATATAAACATTCATCATGATGAATGACCCACTAAGATATATAAAATCCCCCAAGATGCACATTTGTATGTATGTATAAATTGGGCCTATATATTGGAGAAAAATATTATGGGGATATTCAAGGTGTGGTTCAAATAGAGTTGTGTATCTCATCCATCTATGGTCTGAGTGAACGATCCACACAGCAGCGACAAATTACAAGCTAGCCATAGGAATATTCTATTAATTAAAAAAAAAAAAAACTTAAGTTTGAATTGCCTTTCTGATGGAGTTTCTATCTTTCCTGAAGAGTTATCCTTGCAAAGGTGTGTATTGAAATGTCAGGCTTAAATTTAGCCACGGATAAATTGTCCATGTTCCAGTAAATAGCCTCTTCCCCATACCTAGGCAAGCACCCTGGTAAACACTATGGGACACACACACACATACACACACACACACACACACACACACACACACACACACATACACACACCATAAAAATAACAAAGGGGTTTGTTTGAAAGAAGGATTTCAGCAGAAGAGGAAGAGGGTAACAGAGGGGACATGAAAACAACTAAAATTCATTATACACGTGTGAAACTGTCAAAGAACTAAGATGAAAAAAAAGTGAGAAAAGTCAAGTGAGGCTCGAAATACTTTAAAGGTAAATAAATAATTTATATCTATCTACTTCTAGAAAATATTCTGGGCAGTTAGTAATATAAAAATATTTTCAAAAAGAAGATCAAAATGTAAAGAAAGTGAAAATTGTATCTATGCTTACTTAACACTTCAAAGGAAGGCAGAGGCATGTGATTTGAGTTGCTGATAAGGAGAAAATCACTGTTTGCAGTTCTCCTATTCCAATAAAAACATGTTTCCACATCAGGTGATACATATTTTATTGGAATAAAAATAACTAAGTGATTCACACTTAGTTCCAAGATGAACTGACTATAGGAATTCTGAGTTTGAGTTGTTGGATGCTTTGTTACATGTGAAGTATGTGACGATCGTGACTTCGGGCATCTTGCTGTCTGGCTTCCCTCCTGCAGGGCCCAGGTCTCCATTCTAACCACTGTCCCCTCTTCTCCTCCGAGTGACCTTTCCCACCAGCTTGACCCTCGGTTGCACTCCTCTTTCCTAGACCCCTCCTTACTGGACTTCCTTTATTATATTCTTCCTCCCATCTTTCTGTGTCTTCATTACTGCTTATCCCTTATCCATGAAAAACCAGGAAGCCTTCTGACCTACCCAGTCCAGGGTAGACATTCCGGCCAGTTTCATGGCCAGCACCTGGCTTGTGCACCTTGATATGCGCACCTTGATATGTGTACCGCCCATCTGAGCCTCTCAGGGCACTGAGAACCTCATCAGCAAGATCCATGACATGCCTGTTCATTATATCCTCAGTACCTATGGCACACTTATGCCTAATAAGGTTAAAACGTTGTCAGAAGTAAAAGAAATGAATCCAGCTGATTTTTCATAAATCTCTTTGGAGGTGTTGTGGGGGGTGTAAAGATAGAATGACTATTCTTCTCTTGTTTGGACAGACCCAGCAAGAATCAGGCTGTAGCTATGAATCTTCCAGAAACAATCCTCCTTAACCTATTTATCCACCAAGCTGCACTCCCTACCCTTCAACCTTTTAAAGCAGAGAAGGGAGTCCTCAGCATCAAATGGATGTGGGAAAATGGGTGCCTCTCTCTCAGTGACTGAATCCAGCCCAAACGAGGATGCTAGTTTTTCCTTTTGAATACTACACAAATGGCCAATGTGGTAAATGCGCTAGGGGCTCCATCTCGCCATGAACAGGTCTTATTTGAAATGAGTAATTCATGCATACTCATGAATATAAAAGCAACAAAAAGTAAAAACTATGACGTGTTTGAATTTTAAGTGAAGGAGGGCAAAAATACAAGGTCTTGTCCAACTTTACATTAGTTGTAATTGATAGAAGTTTTTTTGTTGTTGTTGTTTTGTTTTGTTTTAACTAAAAATAACCTGGAGATTTTCTGTTGTCCATCAGGCTTTGAGGTATGGCCATGAAATAAGTTATTTGAAACATATTAAACCTCCCCTCCCAGGATTCTCTGATGTTACACATGTCACTGAAATGCCAAAGCATAACAGGCTACTTTGCATTTATAATGAGCAGAACATTGAGCCGCATCAGAAACGGGGAAGATTTGCATTCACTAAATGAAATAGTGTCCCGCTTAAAGCAATAACAAATCATTTTCCCTGCTCTCCTGGCAGGAGATGAGATTTGAATGCTGCCTGCCGTGCACGAATTCATCCTAAACCCAAAAAACACAGAACTGCTCATTTTGCCTTTTCCACACATCTCCACACCATTCTTGTATGAGCCAGAGTTTCTATGACATCACAAGCCACCTGAGCATCAGTGGTGGACACTTGAGCGTGTGACACTCCTCCCAACAAAGTCTTTGAGACAGAATCATTGTGAAATCAGCATTTCAACCTGGCAACTAGATTTGGCTGGCCAGTCTAGTTGCTGAATTGAAATTCAGGTTTCTTTACCATACTTAGAAAAAAGCTTGAGAAAGTCCTTTCACACACACACATGCATGCATACAAAAGAAGATACAGAGAGAGCGAGAGAGAGAGAGAGAGAGAGAGAGCACACCCCAGTAGACAGAGGAGACCCATAAAGGGCAAGGCCATGAGACAGCAGAGGAAGAACTAGAGCTCTATCACAAGTCCCTAGCAACTGCAAGCAGCAGAAGCCAACAGAACCGTGGTTGCCTCCTTCCCTAGAGGCCCAGACAGAGCACAGCCTTGCTCATTTGTACTCTTCTTCTGAGTCTTTAGCCATCCAAGCTATGGTATATAATTTTTGCTTTAAGCCACATGGCTTGTGGTATTTTGATACAGTAACCTCAGGATTCGGGTGGGGGTTAAGGTCATTCTGTTCTATTTCAGTCAGTCAACAACCACTTTTTGGTGATCCTTACCCAAAGTGAGGTAAGGTGCTAAGAGCTCTAGGAAAGGAAAAGGACTTCTAGACATGGATTTACTGTTTGCCTGTTGATGTGTGTACAAGAACAAGAAGAGAACAGAGCCAGAGAGGATACAAAGCGAGGGTAGAAAACGGGCTCTCCAGCAGGAGAAACAAAAGAAAGCTGTGGTTATAAATATAACTGAAGTGGGATTGTGCCGTGCAGTCCAGTGCAGAGAAGGAGCAACAGGGAGTTTAATAAACAACACTATTAACAAACATAATATGTACAGCCTAGCCCAAACAATATCGCCTGCTTGCTTTAGTGACACATAAAATAATCTATCCAGCTGCTGCAGAATACGCGCTCTTGTTCTCCTCTGATCAATCGTTTGCTAAGATCATCTGGATATAAGTTACATTTAAATAAGTTTAAAGTATTAATAATAATAATAATTAAATGAAGCCTTACTAGAGGGGAAAAAAACCAGGGGTTAAAGTGAAGTTTGTAGTACTAAATGTATATACTAGGAAAGAAAATATCCAAAAAAATGTTTTGACTAAAGGAACTACAGAGAGAAGAGCTGCTTGGCTCTAATGTAAGAAATATGTATATTAGAATATATGATCAACAACACTGAAAATAAGAAAATACAGAAAATCAATGAATTCAGAGATTATTCTTAGAGATCAATAAAAACATACATCTCTAGTCAAGTGTAGTTTTGTTTTGTTTTATTTGGTGCTTTAACAAATACTTAATAAAAGCATCTCAAGGAAGGGTTTGTCTGGGCTCAGTTTGGAGACTTAGTCCATGTTGGTGGGGAGACTGGCTGAGGAGAGTAAGGGGCTGGTCCGATTTTCTGCCGTCAGGAAGCGTGGAGATGCTTGCAGACGCTCCGCTCACTGTCTTCTTTATCTCCCACGTGGAATGGAATGGCCATCTACATTCAAGGTGAACCTTTACCCCCTAAGGTAATCTTCTCTGACAATGTCCCTGTAGACACATCCATATATGTGCCCTTGGCATTTCTGAATCTGTTCAGGTTGTTCACATTAACCAGTATGCCAGGTTAACCAAGAGAAGAATGAAAACAAAAGGCACCAACCTCAGAGGTGAGTCACCACTGGAGAGCCATGGGTCAAGACAATAAGAGATTAGCAACTGGATGATTGTGGCCTTGGCAACTAAAATGAATTAGATCAGTTCTTGAGTGCAACAAACCTATACCTCCCCCAGGCAGAAATGTATAACCCATAGCCTCATAGCATTACAGACAGTAAATCAGCAATCTGTCATAATAATACAGCACAAGGACCACAGGATTTTACTGATAAAGCAACCAAATACTTACAGAAAAATAATATGAATTATTCATAATGTTTTCTAGGAAAGCGAAACAGGATTCTTCTTAAGTCATCCTATGGAACTCAGAGCTACCCTAAGAGTAAAACCAGATAAATGTTTATGTACAAGAAAGGAAAATTGCATACCAAATCCACTAAGAAATTATACACTCAGAAAATAATTTTCTCTAGATATACAACACATTCAAATACAAAACTTAGTGACTTTACTACTTATACAGGAGGAAAAGAAAAGAAATATCATATAAAGTGAATTGATGGAGAAATAACATTTGAAAACATACTCTCCAGGATCATGATCATTTTTTTAAACTTTCAAGAAACTAGCTATAGAGAAAGCATCTTCACAGAGAGTATCTACAGAAGTTTTGGGGTGAGGGCCTGGGCACCTTCCCTAAATCTGACAACAAAGCAAGATGAAAAGCCATAGCCATCAAATCTAACACAACCAGAGTTACTGCAATTGGGAGAGAAGAAGTGAAACAACCTTATTTGCATATATTTTAATTCTCTCTGTAGAAAGTCCAGAGGAACCTACCAACTAGTAAGGATGGCCAGGGCACAAAAAGCAGGAGGCCAGCAGGAAGTTCAGCCAGGAGACACCCAGGAGCAGGGGCTATTTACAAAGAAACCACAGCGAACAGGGCGTCTTCAGAGACCCTGGTGGTCAGTGGGGTCTTCACTCTCTGCAACAGACACTACAGAAACTCGAAATCAAGTTGTGGCAGTCTATGCTTGCTTTTACCTCTCAGTTGCTTGCGATGTGTGTGTGGGCTTTGAGGGAGGTAATGAGTTACAGAGGGCAGTGTTCATCAGAGCAAGGGGATGCCTCATGTGAAACAAGAATCAAACTTGGTCATTTTTGCCAGCCATTGTCACTTTCAAAAGAACCAAGGGGACATCTTAGAAAAACTAGAGACCTTAGTTAGGGCTGCCCATCTGATGTGAAATTACAGTCAGAGCACTGTAGACAGCAGCCTTTTCCAACAGTTAATAATCACGGCAGAATAAAACCCTTTGGGCTCAGGAGTGACTTCATAGGGGATGATTTGTCAGCTTCTAAGCGGCAGCAGGGAGTGGAGGACTGAGGCTCGGCAGGTGAGTGCTTTCCTAACAGAGACAATGGGAACATGCTGCGAGCATATTTCTAAGCTTCCCTATTAGAAACCTACGTTAAAATACAACACCCATTTTATTATCCTTTAAAAAGCCGTGTTTCATAGAGTCATAACTCGGCCTGTTAATTAAGACTACAAGCGACTACTTTGGCAATTATAGTTAAGTAAAAACTTTTCAATGGAGTTAATTATTTTGCATTATCTAAAAGTTAAATATAAGCGCTTTCTTCTTTTTCTATCACATGCGTCCTTGAAGGTAATTTTGGTCTGCATTTATATGTCATCTGTCTAAACTTAGACAGCACTGTTCTTTGTCGTTTAAAGGACAGCTCACGGATGGAGCTCAAAAGCCAAGAAATCAACTGGAGTTTTCAAAGGCTTTGTTCACACAGAGAAACACACAGCAGAGCACTGCGCAGCCCCTCCCAGAACTTGGAGACAAGTCCTTACAATGTGCAAGCAAATACTTATTCTAGACTCTGCTCCAATCCATAGCAACAACTGCATAATTACACAAATACTGGTTTGTTACCACAATTCAAAATGGATCATGAGGAACCAGGCTCTGTGACACACACCACCAATCCCAGCACACAGGAGCAGACAGAGGCAGGAGGATCATAACTTTGAAGACAGCCTAGACTACACAGTGAGTTGGAGGCTGGGCTGAGATATATATTAAGACCCTGTCTCAAGAAGAAAGAAGACAGGAAGGAAGGAAGGAAGGAAGGAAGGAAGGAAGGAAGGAAGGAAGGAAGGAAGGAAGGGAGGGAGGGAGGGAGGGAGGGAGGGGGAGGGAGGGAGGGAGGGGGAGAGGGAGGGAGGGAGGGAAGAAAAGAAGAAAAGAAAAGAAAAGAAAAGAAAAGAAAAAAAGAAAAGAAAAGAAGAGAAAAGAAAAGAAAGAAAAGGAAGGACTGGGGGAAGATTAGGGTGGAATCCTTGCTTAGAGGATCCAAGGCAAGGCCTCTGGGGCCATTCCCAGGAGAATGGAAAAAGAGAAAACATGGAGATGGGGAGGGGAGAGAGAGAAGAAGGAGGAGAAAAATCATCTCACAGAGAATCTCAAGGTTAAAAATTCTGTGTGATCTCTTTAAATATGAGGAATTGCTCTTACTGGCTCAATTGCTGTTAGGCAGCTGGTGAGTCTGGCTTGCACCAGCATTGTATAGAATGTGTGAAAACATTCTTTCACTTGCAGAGCTGAGGATGGAATATGAGGTTTGCAAAGTGAGGCAGGTGTCTCCCCACTAAGCTACCTCTGTAAAATCCATTTTGGATGTTGGCGAAACAATGTGTGTGTGTGTGTGTGTGTGTGTGTGTGTGTGTGTGTGTGTGTGTTTTAGTAGTAGTTCTTGTCTGTGAATTTAGTAACTCATAAGGCCGGGTGACATATGACATAATCAAATCAGAAAGCACCTCATGCTGATGGC